TTCGAACCCGCAGTGAATATCCACCCCAGCTCGGAATGGCGCGTGCTGCTGCGCCCCTGGTGTCTCAGGTAAGAACTCAAGTAGGGTATAAGGAGTCCCAAGCTGTACATACACCCCAGCACCAAGTTCACCAAAAAGCCCCCCAGCAGCAGCAGCAGCCGCTGCTGCAGCGGCAGCAGCGGCTGCTGCTGAGGTGTCTGTACACCTGAAGAGCCGGCGCATGCGCAGCACGCACGCGCTGGCTCTTCAGGTGTACAGACACCTCCGCAGCAAGCCGTTGCGCCGCAGCGCGCTGCTGCAGCACGCGCGCCGCTGCTGCTGCTGCTGCTGCTGCTGCTGCTGTTGAGCGCACTGCAGCAAGCGCCCGAGGCGCAGCTTTCGCCATTGCCTTGCTGCTGCTGCGGCTGCTGCTGCTGGGTCTGGAGGTAGTAGCGGTGCTGCTGTTGCTGCTGCTGCTGCTGCTGCAGGGTCTGGAAGTTGTAGCGTTGCTGATGCTGCTGCTGCTGCTGTGTCTGGATATAGTAGCGCTGTTGTTGTTCTTGCTGCTGCTGCTGCTGCTGCTGCTGCTGCTGGATCTGAAGGTAGTAGCGTTGTTGCTGTTGTTGTTGCAGCTGCTGCTTCTGGGTCTTGAGGTAGTAGCGTTGTTGCTGCTGCTGCTGCTGCTGCTGCTGTTCTTGCCTTATTTGTTTCAGATGGCACTCGAGCTGCTGATGCTGGTGTTGAAGCTCCCACTGGAGCTGTTGTAGCTGCTGCTGCTGGAAGCTCTGCTGCAGGTGCTGCTGCAGCTGGAGTCTTTGCTGCTGCTGCTGCTGCTGCTGTTCCTGCTGCTGCTGGAGTCTTTGCTGCTGCTGCTGCTGCTGCTGCTGCTGCTGTTCCTGCTGCTGCTGGGGCTGTGTGTGCTCCCGCGCAAATGAGGGACTGGCTCTCGGCAGCGCCTGCATTGTGTGGGGAGCAGCAGAGTCTAGGGTTTAGGGTTTTGGGCGCCTACGCCCAAACCCTAAACCCTAAACCCTTGACCCCAGAGCTGAAGCCGGATGGCCGCCACTCTGCACATGTAGCTGAGTGTTGCAGGGTTTGAGGAACTCTAGTTTAGGGTTTCAGTTAGGGGCGCCCCTAACCCTTTACTGAGACTTTGGTCTAGGGTTTAGGGTTTAGGGTTTAGGGTTTGAAGACGAGATCGTGCGCTCTCCAGTGTACAGACACCCGGTGGGCGGCTGACTGGCTCGTTACTTTCTCGAAGTTGGAGTTTCTTATTTCACAAAAAAAGAACTTCGGAAGGACTGGTGGGGTTGTTGTTGCTGCTGAAGTTTAAAAGAGAGCAGATTCTGGGGTGTACAGACACTCGAAGTGTTGCACGCGAAACCTGCACGCAGCCCAGTGTTCCTTTGGGATTTAGATTAGCGGAAACTCCATCAAATTAATAAATTCAAATTATAAATCAAATTTCCCTCTGATATATTACGAGGAAGTGCAAAATCCCAAACAAACAAAAGCAAGCCCCAACCCCCGGGGCCCCCTGGGGGCCCCCCAGCGCGGGCCGACAGAGGGGGCCTCTGGGGCCCCCTTTAGACCTTCTGGGGGCCCCTTGAAAGAACTTGAATGTTTTCTTTAATTTAATTTCTTAAATTGGGGCCCCTTTTGCCTTACTTGCACTTAGAGGACTTTGAAATAGTTGAAACTTGAGCGAGTGGCGAAACCTGAATGAATTTCAACGGAAGCCGATGACGCAGAGTCGAAATCAGCGAGTTTGAATTTAAATTTAAAATTAAATTGAATTAAATTAAATTAAATTAAATTAAATTAAAAAGCCTCTTCTCTCTCGTCTCTCAGTTTTCCCTTTCTTTTTTTGAATGACTTTAACTCCTTTTCATCACTTGGCTTTGAGTTACTCCACGGGCTGTCTTGCTGCGCTGCTGTTGCACATGCTGCTGCTGCTGCTGCTGCTGCTGCTGCTGCTCCTGTTGCTGCTACTCCTGCTGCTGCTGCTCCTGCTGCTGCTGCTGCACCCAGCACTCCTCCACCTGCATTTCTGCTGCAGCAAATTGCCTCTCTGTTGGCTTGTTGGCTCTTGGGCTTTCCTTGGCAGCTTTTAAGTTGAGAAATGCGTGGGCAAACCCTAAACCCTAGGGCTTAGGGTTTAGGGTTTGGGGTTTAGGGACCCTTTGGAGGCTTTACGACCCCAAATGGCTTTCTTTTTTTGGACAAATTGTTTTATTTGTCGAACTTCTGCAGCAAAAGTTTAGCAAAGTATTTCCCAATCTGAAAAGAACTTAAACATATAAAGCTTCTCTTGCTGGCTTTTCTGTGCATTTTTTTAAAACGTTTTTCGAAAAATGAAATCCTTTTGAAATGTTTTAAAGACAGAAAATTCTCTTTAACGGCGGCATTGCGCAGCATTTTAAAAAGCAGCAAATGAGGGGAAATGAAGAAAAAAAGTGGCCAAAGAAAAAAGATGAAAACTGGGAAAGGGGGCGCATCTAACCCAATATAAACTTCCTTTTAGTTGATTTAATATAATTTAACTATTTGTCTTAAATTTAAATTTATTTATTAGAAATATGACGTTCAACTTCATTCGAAATTCATTTCTTTTGACTTTGCAGACAAAATGGAACTTCTCGAGGACTCCGCTGTGCGAAGTCGCCATTCTCAGCTGTACGTACACTGCGTAACCCTTAAAAGTTCGAAAAAAATCACTTTTATTTCCTTCGACAACTCTGCAAACTCGTTCTGTGGCCTGATGAAGGAAGAAGTACTTATATATGGCTCAATAAATGCCTAAAGGGAGCACAATTTGCCAGTCTTTGCATGCAAAATGAACAAATAAGAAGACTTATTTGTTCGGGGTGCCTCGTTTGTCTTTTTCGTGGCCTCTCGGTGCACAATTCAGAATTCAATATTGCAAGCCAGCAAAGTGCCCACAAGCTGCATGCAGAGGAGCTAATGGCTGAACTCGGGGCTTTCTAGATCTCGGAAATAATAAATTCATTTAATTTTTACCGAAATTTTAGTTGAAAATGGAGGCCAAAATGGTAAAAACAACTTGTCTGCGAGGAGGAAAATGAAGACACACTCCTCACGGCCACGGGAGAGCCCTTGGCTGCCCGTGGAGCCGCAATTGCTGTTTTTAAAGTTCTGGAAAGCTCAAAATGCGAAGAAAATACTTAAAATAAATATAATTTGAAATATTATGGAGTCTTTTTGTTGGAATGGGTTCGAGTCGAGCCCCGGTAAGCACAGTGGAAACGCCTGGGGCTGCACGAGTGGGCGCGCGGGGCGGCTGCTGACTAAATTGAACTTTATTTTGAATTAAAAATAAAAACTTTTCGGCAAAATAAATTAAACTTTCTTTTAATTGAGAGTCTAGGCGAGGCTTATCGGAGCCTTAGCCGCCGCAGAGTCGGTAGTGGACCTGTGTGGCAGTGGCCTCGCGGGCGCTTTCGCCCGGCGCACACCCCCGTGAACAAGGGGCATTATGCGCAGAAAAACCTTAATAAAGTGGAAATAGTGAAAAAGAATGAATTTTATTTGTAGTTTCATTTGTTTTTAGGGACTTGTTGCAGCACGGCAGCAACCAGGATTGGGGCTGGCTACGGCAGCAAATGTGTGCATGGTGCAGTGACTTGCTGCGCCTGGGGATCGTGTCTACTTGAATACATTGACTTTAGGAGTTTTTTAAAAGAAGAAATACAAAACAAAGTATGAAGCAGCAGTCACTGCGGCGGGGGCCTCGGCTTTGCAACACCTCCGAAGACTTGCAAACTGCAACTCGTCACACTCATGGCTCTTGAGATCTAGTGCTCGGGTTGAGTTCAAGTTTCGCCTCTTCTGCGCCTCGCCATGGACAACTTGCTGCTTCTGTTTGCACTTTTAACATCATGCTTTCTCTCGAGACAGATCCGGGCGGCGGAGATCGCCGCTGTTCCCCGGGAACCCACTTGTTCACTTGGAACAAACAACAGAGGCGTTCCGCTGCTGCAGCCCGACCCCCCAACTTGCCTGTCTGCCGCACCTGAAGCACTCAACTTCAAATCCCATTCAAATTCAAGTTTTGCAACTTCTGCCCCGGAAGATCGGCTGCTGCGCCTGCAGCAAGCCGTCGATGATCTGCTCAAGTGCGCAGTTCAACTTCGTGCAACTAAAGCCCTCGCCTTCCCCCAATTTTTCTTTTCCCAAATCTCCTTTGCCTCATTTTCTCTCGTGACTAAAACATTACTGACTCAACGAAGGAAAGCTGCGGCTGTTTGGCTCTGCGCTGCTGAATTTTCTCCCGTTTTGAGTCTGTCGCTGGCTCAAGAAGGCGGCGATCTCAGTGCAGCAAAGTGTTTAAATGCTTTACTTTTTATTTTCGTCAAAACACAAATAGAAGTCAATTGTGTGGCCTCAGGAAACTCGAAAAACAGGGAATTCAGCCCGCAGCCTCTCCGCAGCTTCAAGAGCCCGCTGTGGGAAATGCCCAGGATATTCTCTTCGCCGTGCGTCAGATCGAGGTGAGACTCAAGACCTAGTCACCAGCTAGTTAGATAGATAGCCAGCTAGCTAGCTAGCTAGCTAGCTAGCTAGAGAGCTGACTAGCTAGTACGATCCGCACCTTTTAACCGCGCTGGCTAGCTGGTCAAAGGCAAGGGGGCGTTGGGAGCCCCTGCGTTGCATTTCGTCGAGTAAACAGGAAAACTTCGATGCCAAACTCTTTTATTTATATTTAATTTGAATTCTTTTTATATTTTTCGTCTCAGTTCACAGCAAAGCCTTCTTTCATTGAACTCGTCTCGCTCACCCGGCGGCGAGATGAAGCCTTTTCGTTGGGTGAGGCTAATGCATTCAGTTCCACGGCGGCCCCCCCTCACCGTCTAGCTAGCTAGCTAGCCATCTTGTGGGGCAGCTAGCTGGGCTTTCTGGGGCCTTTCTGGCTAGTTCTGCCGGCTGCCCGGCAGCTAGCTGGGGCGTGGCTCGCCAGAAGCTAGCTGTTCAGCTAGCTGTTCTGCTCGCTGCTCATGTAGCTGTTCAGCTAGCTGTTCAGCTAGCTGTTCAGCTAGCTATTCAGCTGGCTTTTCAGCTAGCTGTTCAGCTAGCTGCTGCGGCCTGCGCAGATTGACTTGTGTTTAACTGCAGCTCTGTCTTCGGTTCTTTTGGTAGTTTGCTCCCGCGAGGGTCTGCTGGAGGCGCGCAGTGTGTCCAACCCTGTGAGCTCAGTGGCTCTGAAGACGGCGCATGCAGCCCCAGTGTTGAGCCTTTCTGTCTTTCCCCAGGGCGACGGTGCGCATTGCTGCTGCTGCTGCTGCTGCTGCTGCTGCTGCTTTTCGGGTGTCTGTACACTGCGAGGGTTGTGCTGCGTGCGCCGTGGCAGCAGGACTGGGCGAGGGTGCGCATTGCTGCTGCTGTTGCTGCTGCTTCTCGGCTGTATGTACACTGCTGGGGCTCTGCAGCAGGACTGCGTGTCACTAGCTGCTGCTGCTGCTGCGCTCGCCACCGCAACACAGCAGCAGCCTCTGCTGTTGTGCTGCTGCCTGCAGTTTTCGCAGTTTTGACAACAGATGAAGAAGGAATTGCTTTAATTCATATTCTGTCTGCAAAACGAAAAGAGCCATCGCCTCCTCTTGCACAACAGGGTCAGCCGCTGCTGCTGCTCTTTCTGCATTCGGCAGCCTCTCACTCATGAATATAAACATCTTCGAAAGTCCTTTTCTGAGGCTTTTGGTGTGGGACCGGAAATCCCTATCCAATAAAATGGCTTAGTTTCAGGTTTCCTGTGGACTTGTGCAAATAAATCTGTTGATGCACATGCTTGCTGCATTTCTTGGCTCTTGGCCTGCACGTGAAAACAGGAAATTTGAATAAAATTTGGGCCCTTTCTGCACAGCAAGATGTCTTGTGCTGAGGTGTACGTACACTCAGGAGGGGAGCCTCTGGATGACCCCAAGTCAGAGCCTGTGTTGCGGCATTTACCATCTGAGCCCTTAGTTCTGTCTTTGACGCAATCGGACGCTTTCCAGGTTCGAGTTCTGCAGTGGCTTTTTGTTGTGTTCTTGTTTCTTTGTTTTCTTTTCCCGAATTTTGTGCGAAAAACTCGAATAAGTCTTTCCTTTTTGGACACACTGCTTTCCTGCTTTCAGGTTTCACCGGGGGGCCCCCGGCGACACAACTGCGCCATCGCCGCCACCATAAATGGGGAAAGACTTGTCTTGGTTGGCGGCAGAGACGGCCGCCTCAGGTGAAACAAACTTTCCCAATTAAGCAAAAGTCCCTTAAATCGACTTCTAGAACACTTCTTAGAAGTGGGGAATTGCAGTGGTTTGCTGCTCGCAAGCTAGCTGCTCGAGGGTTTGCTGCAGCGGGTGCTACTTGATGGCAGCAGATGCGCGGGGCTGAGAACTTAGTGTTTAGGGTTTAGGGTTTGGGGTTTGTGGGGCTTTTGTTCAGCGTTTTTTCTCGTAGCGGCGCGCTAAAGGCGCAGCTGCAAGTGACCGAGGAAGAGGGAGGCATTCAGCAGCTGGTTCATATGGGCAGTTTTACAGTTTTTGCAAGTGAGGGGTTTTTGTCTTGACCTGCCATTCAGTGCAGCACAGCGCGAGGTGTCTGCACACCTGATGAGTATTCTTTCTATTCAAAAAACAGCGGCACCTCGAGCCTCCAGTTCTCTTCTTTTTCGTTTTTGCCTGCTTCTGTCTTAGCGAAAAGCTGCGTCGGGCACATCAACCCAACAGCTCCAAACCTCACTGGAAAAGTGTCCTGCATAGGAGTGAGCTAGAGCCGCCGAATAAACTCTAAAACGCCCTTGTGGGGTTTTTTGTTGGCCAGCTTCACTTAATCTACTTGGGGGCACTTGTGGATTTGCTGCTTCTGGACCTTAGGGGCCCCTCGGAATCATTTTTGAGTCCCATTGGGGCCCACTGTGTTGTGTTCATTTCTGATTTTCCCTGTGGGCCCCCTCTAGTCCATTAAGGATGGACTAGAGGGGCCCCACCGGCGAAACCCTGAGTGTTGAAGGGAGTCCCTTGTGGCCTTTGTTGGAGCTTCATGGCCTTTTCTTATGTCGTTTCTTTGCTTTTTTTGAGGAGGCCTCGACCTCAGTAGCGTTTTTTTGCCTTGTGTCCTGCACTCTGAATAGGACTTCTTGTCTTAAGTGATTAAGGACTTGATCGCTCTCATTTACGTTTTTTGTTTTGCGTTTATTCGCAGCTAGAATCCCCAATTGCTTCCGTCGCTCTTGACGGACGGAAGGCAGGCCGCGGCGCCGTTTCTCTTTGCGATGGGCAGATTCTTTACTTCGACATCAAAACTTGGACTTGTTAGTTTTCTTTTTTGTTTTTGTTTGTTTCTTTTCCTGCCTGCTGAAGTGCTAATGCATTGAATTGTTAGCATAACGGTTCGCCTCACTGCGTGCCTTTTTGTTTGGGTTATTTGCTTGTCTTTGCCCAACCGTCCACAGTTTTGCTTTCGTGTCTGGGCCTTGCAATTACCTTTACTTCCTCGTTAGAACTGATTTATTTTTGAAAGTTTTCGTGCCTGCAGCTGCTCGTTTCATTTGTATGTTTGTCGTTTGTTTGCTTTTTGTTGTTTTCCTGTTTTTAATGTTCCTGCATGCTCTGTTGCTCAGTCGTTTATTTTATTGAATGCTGTGAGTCTTTGGGTTACTCTGCACGTTAATACTTTCTCTCTGGTCCTGCTCGCTCATTTTAAACAGTTGCTTTTGAGCCTCTGCATTCAAATCCTCTGCTGTTGCTGCAGTGCTGCACAAGCTTCCTCGCCTACTAACGGGCCCCTCTAAACTGATTTTCGCCAAGGAAAAGTTGCTAGCCAGTCCTGTATCGAGCAGTTTCCCTGCTGCAGCAGCAACGGCCCCGCATCAGGTGAAGTGAAGCTCGAAAAGTGACGAGCAGCAAACAGGGGAAAACAGAAAACGAAAGAGGTGCATGATTTCGAAAAGGCTATTATGGGCTTCAAATAAGCTGGCAAGCACAGTTTCAGGTATGCAGCATTCTGCCGTTTCGTCTGCTGCTGCTGCAGAGAGGTGTGGCAGTCTATAACGTTGGCGCGGTGGACCGTCCAGACGCTGTTCGAGGGCCTGCAGTGTACTTTCTGTCTATGGAGAAGGTCAGGCAAGAACGGCACTAGCAGTTAATTTCTTTTCGTCTGGGGCTGGTATCACTACAGCTGCTGCTGCTGCTGCCCTTGCAGCAACCAAGTTTGTTGCTGCTGCTCCAGTACGGCTGCCGATAGTGCTTTTTCTGCGTTGAATGCTGCTTCCACTCCTGCAGCACCAGCAGCAGGAAGGGGGGTTGTTGAAATGATTTGTTGCTGCTTGGATGTGTCTCTTCCTGTTCGTTTGCTGTTTTGACTGGAACCACTAAACGTTTTACGAGGCAGATACACCAAAACGTTGGGCGTCTGCTAATGCCAATTTGCACTCACTCAGTTCAGTTCGAGGAAAGAATATTCATGTGTATGGATATTTGAAAGTGATTGCTAAATGCGTGCGTGCTGGCGTGTGCAAGTTGATGCATGCTACTCAAGGATTATGTTTGTTCATATACTCTTCAGGCACATTTTGTTGAACTTTTGCAAAAGCCTCGTCAAATCACTGATCTGTGGGTCTTTTATTTGTAGATTTCCTCCTTTGCGCTGCTGAGGCGAACTGGAGACACCAGCGTCCTGGCTTTCGGGGATTCAGGCAAGGAGAAGCAACTGATCCCGTAGCCGCGAAACCTAAATAGTGAAATGTTATTCCTGAACTTGAACACCAGACGGTGGACCTGTGACATTTTTTCACTAGAGGAAATCACAATTGAATGGACAGCGGGAACAGAAAAATGGGGGAGACACATTGAAAAGGACAGGAGAAATATACCGCAGCTCTAAGTTTTAGTTCAGGGATGTCTTTGCTGGTGTGCTCCAATGAATGACTTTACAGGTGGCCGATGCCTTCATTAAGTTCTTATTGAAGTGGTATTCAGTGTTTATCTTTAGGATTCGATGGCGTATGCGGGGCGTGCAGACGGGCAGTTTGTCAGAATCTTCGAGTGTCTGCATCATGATCCTCCAGCTCTGTCTGAAGAGTCATGGTCGCATCTGCGCCTTCCTATGTAAGCTCTAAACTTTGTTGCCATAAACTTTGTTCTGTTTCACTTGTTTGCGCTTCGCTTTCTCTGTGTAGTTTTTCCTGTCTTATTGTGGCTTTGCGCTCGATGCCAGTGGTGCCTGTGGCGCTCTGACACTCATTTGTGTACTTTTCGTATGTGTATTCCTGTTTCCCTTCTCCTCCGCATTCCTCTGCTTGTGACTGCCTGTTTTGCCATCGAATTCCGCATTCGCCATTTTTCCCCTCATTCTCCTGCCACCTTTCCCGTTGCTTTCCATCCTTGTTTCAAACGTCACTAATTTTTTTCTCTCGTGCTGCGTTGTGTTTCTGTCTTCGTATTTCCACCCCTTCAGTATTCATCTGCCTACTAAATTATTCGGCATTCTTAAGTATCATTTAAGCGCTGAAAGCTCCAGGCATGAAAATGTGGAGCTAGACACTGAGTGGACAGCTTTCTGCTGCTGTTTTTGCTGCACAGCATGATACTGACAATCGTAGTGGCCGTGGTGGCCCAGCTGTATAGGATGCGAAAAGCAAAGAAAGGACGAGGGGAACTTCCCCTAGAAGAAACACTTAGTGGGGTGAGCAGCAGACAGCAAGATCAGCTGGGGCTCTGTAATACCTGGTCAAGCCGTGATGAGTGGAGGCTCATAAGTTACTAAGGCTGAGCTCCTGCTGCTTGGGTGAACACTTTTGCGGCTAAGTGCATCATGAATTCATGGATATTTAAAGCTGCTATGTTGCGTGTAGGGCGAATTGCAAGGCTTGTGGAATGAAAGGCTGCAGGCGGAGCGAAGAATGCTGCTACAGCAGCTGCAGCAACAGCAGCAGCTGCAGGAGCAAGGGGATATATGTAGAGAGGCTTCAAGGTGCACAGAAAGTGAAGAAGTGTCAATGCGCGAACAATCTGCCTTATTCTAAAGCACATATAAAGAAAAGCAGATAATGCGCTACTGCATCTCTGGAAGCAGTAAAAGGAGAGAAGAGAGCGATCGAGAAAGAAACAAGCAGAGCCTAAGACAAAAATAGGGAAGCAGCCAGAGCCGCGAAGACATTGGCAAAGAGACAGGCAAAGGAGAAAACAGGAAAGATGAGACATGAACAGAAGCAAAAAAAGGGAAGCTAGTATTACCGTGCATGATTGGAATTGCTCTTGTTTAACGATCGCTTAACGGGAGAAGATTCATATAGGGAGAGGTGGAGAGATGGGGATACAAGCAGAAAGATAAACCTATTTGTCGTTCGCTGCTAATTTTTTCGTCTTTGCTTAGGTGCATGCTGTGTAGCGTCTAGCACCATCACTATAAGGCTTTACCGAGAGTGCGTCTCACCGGCTAAGAGGGTTCTGCGCTTGCGTAGCGGGCTAGCTGTGGCATGTTTTTCTCCTAGTGAGCTAGTTTGCTGGTTAACCGCGGACACAGCTTAGCTAGAAAGATTTGTATTCAGCAGTTATTTGAAACGAGTTACACATTTCGAGTAAATGATTCAACAGAGCAGTTGTAGAGATACGAGCGAACACAGCGAGCTTCCCAACAGGGTCTCGCATGCTCGTACATGCCGAAAACGGGGTCTACTCCCGCGAGTAGTGTAATCGTAAGGCACAGCGCAAACTATGCAAACACGTGCACGCTAGTGCGGAAAAGTATGTAGCTCAAAAAATTTGGGGAGTAAATGCCGTGCAGACACAAAAACTTAGCTATGCAAAGGCACCTAATGTGCCAAGCCTCTGTGTGGTAAATGGGAGTCCTAGTGACCACAAGTGCAAGGTATATTCATTTCATTGTGCCTTGTCCAGTCATTGAGGAAACACCCGTGCATGCAGACATGTTTTGCTTCCTTCGTTTTTGTCTTTGCTGCGAGACGCATCCAAATGCTCTTATGACAGCCTGAATCGCTGTCTACACGCTCGATTTCCACCTACCGAAAGCGATGTTAGCAGCCTTTTCGGCGACTCCCCAGTCCCTCCCAGTTTGCAGAAATCCTTAACAAAGAAGAGCGCTTCTAGGGCGCAGCTCCAAATGTGCTGCAGATTTTGGCGTAGGCTTTATGTGTACCCCGCAGGGGGGCTGAGGCTGTGTCAGACATATGCCGAAACGACTCCGCCAATGTGCACTAAGAGTTTACGTACAGAAGCCGATACGCACAGGCAGATCGTGAAAGCATCAAACAGTCCGCTTTCAGACTTGCACCTCAAGTTGATAGGCCTGAAGTACAGAGCTTCGTTAGGTTTGAGCTTTCCTGGCACGAGGCTCTGATGCTATTTCACCAGCTGGAGCGTGCTATGAAGTGCGCTTTCCTACAAATAGCCAATAGACAGAGAAGAGAGAAAAGGAGTTTTTCAAGGCTCTCAGCGTATGGTCTTTTCAAAAATTCCCCACTTCTGAAAGCCATAGAACTAAAGTTTGACTGCTGCACAGCAATCTCGAATCAACTGGGACGAGTGGCTGGCATGAGGCAGGCGTCGCCATCAGCAGGTGAAAATAAAGCTACCAACTGTAAGCCTATGCATATAGCTGACTCTGGAGAGCCATCGTACTCAGCTTGCCACAGCTCACTTATTTTCTAAGGTAAGTGCACTTGCCGCTCAATATATAGAATATATAGAATAGGATAGAAAAGAAGCGTCTGAACACAGCTAGCTAAGTAGCTAGCTAGCCACGAATCCAGCTACAGGTGAAATGGTGTAATTGACGCCGAAGAGAAATATAAAGAGAAGAAGCGTTGCCTGCACTAAACGACCAAGAAAGATTTTGCGGTACACGGGATACTAATGGAGGGAAAACACGCACATCATCGGATGGTTCAAACACACGTCTATCAAAAAAGTGTCACTATGACGCACACAATATCAACATAGATGCAATTCAATGTGTGGGAAGCGATTTTCGCAGTGCCGTCTCCAGCTTGATTAGCTTCAACAGGATACATCCTGAAGGACTCTTCGGAGCAACAAGAAAGCCCACAAGTTGGAGAACGCAAGATGCCTTCAGTGCAGGAATGCTCCTTCGTTGAGACGCGACCGCGACGCCGTTCTGATGCGCGCGCCCAAAAGGCATTTGGTGCTAAAATACTCCTTTAAAGCTGGACCACAGCTCCGGCGGCGCTTTCTGTTAAGTTGGCTCTACCGTCCTCTCTATGCCCGTCTGTTCTGTGTGCTTGCTTGCTCACGTTTATATCTCTTCTTCTCTGTGTTTTTGCGTTCTCCGTAAGTCAA